AGCAATTGGTCAGGTTTTTTGTAACCTGAGACAGATCAAATAGCTAACCGCATGCCTTCAATTTCGCTATGACATATTCCACGGGTGCGGGGAGCGAAAGTGGGCGTAACCCCTGGAGTATCAAGGCTGGTAGTACCCTGGTCAAGTCGCGCTCCAGAATTCAAAGGGAAGATTACGGTATGTACAAACACTGTTGTATAATTCTCAAGTGTTTTATCTACAATGGGACAAAGATCATTTAATACAATATTAGATGCAGTATGTGATGTCACTTTCCAAAGCGTACGTGAATAGATGTGTCTACATGATACTATAACAAGTAAAATTGTCCCGGTATTCTTTCCTTTATATTCACGTATACAAATGAGTTTTGATTTTATCTGGAAATATTTGATACTTTTGCCAGTTTTCTTCACAAGCTTATATTAACGACGTTTATACAACAATTATTATATTCTCGTTTTGGAGCACAGGTATCCGTACATCGATTATATATGGCATCATCGATAAACTGTTTTGATCTGCAGTATGTAACCCATTGATACAAGATAGAGGTATGAAAAAGCGACATTGAGTTTAAACATGAAAGCGCATTGGAAATAATTTCTGATATGATATTTACATTTCACTCAGGCAATCCATTCCCAGAAATGCAAAAGCCAAAAATCAGACGTAAGATTGCCAGCAAAATATATATTGCTATTGACATATCATCATTTAAACTATAAAGTTAAAGAAATGATAAGTATTGAACGTATGTTACGACGCATATACATGTATCTATATGACATTCTAAAAACATTTTGAAATAAAAGTTAAAAAGTTCCTGATATACAATAAATATCATGACTAGCCGATATGTTTCCCGATAAACAGTAATTATCATGAATACACAATATGCATTATTTGTATTATTTTTTATTATGCAATATTATAGATATAGAGGGTGGTATAATTAATTGTGTGTCACATTGCACACATGAATAAATAAAACAGATTCACCAATTCTAAGTATTGACAGTTACGTCACATCCAAACGATACTGTTTACAAATGGCTGATATATACCAACAGTGACAAATGGGAGGGTGTACATCGCAAGCCCACACTGTCCAGCATTCAGGTAAGTAAAGTATCACAACAAATGCCTGTGTTGTATATGTAGCCATGTATATCATCAATAGTATAGCACTGTTATATGTTCTGAACAAATCATCCGTAATGGTTAGATTAGACCCCCGTTGTCAATACACACACACATAAACATACATAAAAATGTATCTGAAAGTGATTGGACATTTACACATGACATAACACAAAAAACAATGAGAATATAACACAACTGATTATTACTCTTTAAAATCTCAATACAACCAATAAAAAACGAATTCATTATAAAGTGTACTATTTCGTCACTGATTCGATGCTATATTAAGACAAAATGTCATAAATCATATTAGTTTAAACTTTCTTTTATTCAAGTATTTCAATTATATACATATGTATGCAACATATATATATATATATATATATATATATATATAACATTTTGTAACAAAACACAGAATAGGAAATAGAAACAAGTGTCTTAGACACTTATGTAAATCTATCACCATAAATCATATTGTCGTGTACCTTGAAAGCAGATGTAGATATGAATAGTTCTTCAATGGGTGTCTTCTTAAACTCAACAGGACTCTCATGTACATGTATATTTTGATATCTATTGAAAAGACTGACAAGTTTAAATGATTAAAAATGATTTATTTACACAACTCTCACCTGAGGTGTAAAATGTATCGATTTTCCAATTTGTATAGTGAATTATATTGTTGATTTATTTTATTTATGATATATAGGTGTAAAATGACACATAATTACCTGAAATACAATACAATATACACTGTATCATAACATGATTCACATGTTTATTATCATAGCAAGATCGATACGATCGGATAATTTTAAAATAAAGCGACGATAAATTGATTTGTTACGTATCACAATCACTTAACGGAGAAATGGGTCAAACCCTCTACTATCTATAAGCTATTTTATCTTCTTTTGTTTTAGATAATGACAACGCAATTGAGCTAACCCGGTTAAGTGTATAGGCACTCTTTTTATTAACATTCAACTCACATTAAACTTATAAATACGATGGCCGATATCAGCCGGCACAAAACAACGACAACAGGAGACGTGTATGTACATGTACACAATACAACTATAATATACAACATTTATGTACATACAAGATACAACAAGATACAAGAAACTTTATTTAACGTCGCATACAGGTAAACAAGGAACATTAGCTCTTGAGAACTATTATTGCGACAAACATATGTAAAAATAACGATAACATATTATATTACAAGTAAAGGGAGATAATCACATATATTAATAATAAAACAGTAATAATCATCACAGAAAAAGAAAGTATACATATACCAGGTTTCTAAGTGATTGGGAGTCCCCTACCTACAAAGGCCCCCCGGGATATATAAAAGTGGTGTTAATATATGAAAAGCATTAAATGTGATCACAGATAAGTAGTATTCAGTATAGGTAAATAAAAGACATAGTTAATAGTGAATGAATACTTGTATATCACACAAGAATTACTTAGGACTTAGGATTAAAACACTATGAAGTGGAATAAACATACAATGCAAATATAGCAAAGAATCAAAATTGACAGAATATACACTAGTATAGTGTGAATTAAATGATACCGAAATCAATTAACAAAATTTATCAAGTTTTGTAAAAACTTATATTTTAGAAAATATGGAATTAAAACACAAATAAGATGCAGCAAAAATATAGAATAGAATTAAAACATATAAGAAATTAGATAAGACATTAAAAGTATCACACAATCCAAAATGTCAGGTGACAGAGGTAACCAGGGCACAGTATGAAGTATCACTCTTTGCAGATATTGCAAAGGCAGATGGGGCCATCCCAGGAATGGACCAGCCTCCTGAATTTTGTGTTCCACACCCGGGCGGCCTCAAAAGCAAACGATTAATGTCCATACTTCACAGTGTTGACCCTGGGCACCTCTGCAGTATTTTCTTTCCTGAGGTCATAATTAGACATCTTAATATTTACAAGATTATGAATATATTCAGGAGAAATTTTGTTTATAATTTTAAAAACCTCACAACCCATTTCCTTCAGACGCCTTACATGAAGCCTGTCGCTGTTGGTAATACTGAGTAAGTGTCTGAAGGATGAGTTGTGATCATTATGTATAAACCTTAAAGCTCTTTCTTGTATCTTTTCTAGCTCTCTGACACTCTTCATGGAACAAGAGTGCCAGACTAAAGGACAGTAGTTAAAATTTGAAACAATAAAAGAATAAAATATTGTTTGAAGGATTACTGTTGCCTTCCTTAGGAAGTGGGGCGGGACTTACATGTAATAGGGAAAGGAGGGATAAATATATTAGAGGAAAATTCATTTCATTATTAGTGATGGGATTATGAAGTTATATTGTATTAAGCGATCCGAAAACCGAAGTGACTTCAAATATAATAATGTGTTTCTCTTTAATGCTTGGCTCCGTCAGAGCTCCAAAAGGGCCTTAATGACCTCATTTTATTAGAATGTAAGTTTGAATAACAAATAAAACTAGGTGCATCGTGGGTCTTATGTTGGATCGACACATGTCAAACGAGTTGTTGTTATGACACTTCAATTTTCCAAATCAAATTTCATAGGTATTGTGTGTCCAGATATTGACAATATATTAACTTTTTCAGTGGCATTATGCATCATTTATATTTTCTGGTATCCATGCAAAGTATCGTAAATCACCAAACTTTCGCATAATATGTAATGATTTACAGAGCGTATATAATTCTGTACACTCGAGAATAACAATCGAGGGCACCTTATCCCAAAATATGAAAGACAAAGTTAAACACAATTGTTTATTTCGGTAAAACAACTTTTAAGATCCATCAATAGTATGAGGGCCCATCGTTATAAATTAAGGATATAAGTAGTTCCCGACAATGTCAATAGTATGTAGATGTCAATAAATGCATAAGGAAGATAGTTGAACCCATTGATATACTCCCAACTTTAGTACTTTTGCAATAATTAGACTTTTATTAGCAAACAATTCAACAACAAACTCGTATTCCATTACACACATCAAACAGCAAATGACGCCTGATTTTTCTTTAATCTAGCAGACCGTCTAACACCAGATTATGAAATGCTGCATGCACGCACAGAATGTTTATGATAAACATAATGTTAACATATCATTTTATAAGCATTATAACGTATTTTTTTAGAATCGGATAAATTCAACACTATTTTCTGTTCTACCGTCTGTGAAATCGTAAATGATACCTGCTTATGTTGATATGACGACTGATGGCTAGCAAGGAACAATTGAAATATTAACAATGGGGTTAAACATATTTTGGCACAAACATATGGGCAGTCCCTTGTAAAGTATATACACTTTTATCATAAACCTTTACTTGAGTTGCAAACGTACGCATAATGAACCATTGTTATGATTGCATCCAAAAACGTGAATGTTTTCGAAGATGTGATGATTATACTTACATGTAGGATAACTATGAGATAAAACACACCGTATACAGCGCAACTGTTCAGTCACACGGTCACGTTTCCATTTCAAATGTCTAGTATGAAGCTTTTCCCATAGCAGTCATGCCACTATAAATGCAATAGGCTTTGGCATCTCGTTTTTAATTTTTGTTATGTGAATTACATTGTGATGGTAACAAACAGGAAGTGTTCATTTTTATCGAATACACATACACCTGACTTTGTGTCAATGCGGAATCAATTTCGGACGAATTCATGTTATTGTTTCCATATGACAATTACCTTTGATATCGTACTATTTATTATGATTTTGTTTCGATTATCACGCACAATGTGATGGCTTTTAAACATGCTGTGAAATCACTTATGTTCGTAAGGATTTTTATTTCGTTGATTTCGTGGGTTATCATCATCCAGGAATTTATAGGTCCTAAATGAAATTAGAATTTTGATATACTCATAATCAAGCGACTATGCGTTTTCTTGAATATTTATGGTTGTCACTGCACTTCATGCCAACATGGAAATGCAAAACATACCCTTAATTCAGTATGTTAAATAAACGATTCATTATAATTTCCAATCGGGTCTCGGCTTTGGTTTTTGATCAGTGTTGTCTGTACGAGTTTCAGTATTTTCGTTGACGGAAATGTGCTCTTCCGTTGAATTGACAGTTTGCGAGTTGTCAACCAGCATTTCACTAGACGTATAAGAATTCAATGTCTTTGCATGAGTTGCCGTGTCTGAAGCGTGGACTGTATCAACGTGTTGTATGTTTATTTTTGTACTCGTGGATTTTCTTTCCAATTCCGATTGAAGGTCCTTACAGTCTGTTCTAAGTGCAGCTAATTCAACTTTAAGATCCACGACTTCCTTTTTAAGTTCCTCAATTTGCTTTTCCTCACGTGACATTCGCTCTTTAACTTCGACTTCGAGTTGATGTATTTTTCTTGTCAGACATTCAATTTGATGCTGTTGCTCTTTTGTGTTTTGTTCATTAGCATTCCTTTCTAAATGTGAAACCTAAACAAAACAATTAGAATATAAAAAGAGTGACAGAAATCATGAAGTCTAAATATATATTTTACTCTTACATTAAAGAGAAACACAATGATGTACCACCCCATTACCTAAACACATAATAGTACACGTTGTTATCTGACGTCATCGCGTTTTTATATGTTTTTTGGGTCTAAAGATATGCTTTTAGGGTCCGGAATTTCATTTATTAGCATCATAACTTGCTAAGTGTAAACGTTAGAATGAAAATGGTTTATTATTGTTTCGCTGTCACAGAAAAACGAAGATAACTGCCAGCTTTCTATAAAGGCAAAGACATGGAAGTCATCTTTAATGGTTTGGATGCAAAGGTTTCATCTCTCACCATTGTAATTTAGATAAAACGACCATTGTCTGAAATGTGTTTTCATTGATTTTGTTTATTTCGGGTTTAACGTCCCTGCAACAGCCAGGATAACATGAGGACGGGTGAATAGGGAGTTATAACTTGATAAAACTAATACCTTTCTCATTGTGATAGACATCAAAAGTGACATCTTCTCAGAGTAAAAATATCACGTTTAATAAATACAGATAATGATGAAGAATAAGTCATTTGGTAGATCTTTCCTTCATAAACAACGGTATAAATTAACTTACACAATTGAAGCAAATCTAATGAAACAATACCAGAGAACGGTAGGACAAGCAGCCATGTTTTCAAACGTGACGTCATTCGAATATGACGCCAAAGATTACGCTGTTAAAACCCCGACTGCTTTGACGCAGTAATTTTCGTTGTTGTAGGTAGTTTTAAAATGTAATAAATAGAAAACATAATGGTTTTCCAATTGAATACTCTTTATATTTCACTAGTATGGAAGAAAAGCGATATTTTGCTCATCGCATTCATGAAAAATATCGGTATTCTGCCATACTCGTGCAATACCACAATACACTGTGTTATTACACTCTCAGATCATTGTATGTACATCGACACTGTTATATGAATATGAGTTATACTCCACACGTGGTTTATGACCTTCCAGAGTCTCGATTGGTCAAACAGAGCGCCTTTGACCGGGACTACTTTTTCACGCGCTTTGTGCCACGTGCTGTTTTGTTTACGTCGTCTGCTGTCAACATGGCTGCTTTGCATGAAGACAGGCGCTGCAGGCAAATGTTGGTGACTTTGTGAGGTTATGCGATGGGGAAAGGGGGGGGGGGCGGATTAAGGCAATATCAAAAGAAGATGATACTGTCACTGTGTCCGAAAATGTTCCGTTCTGCTCACGTCCTGTTATCACGTTTACAGGTTTTGACTCAGAAACGGTCAAATACATATCCCTATCCGTTTCAAATACTCGCCACAATTCTAGCGAAATGTCTGATATTTTTTTTACAAAATGTTCTCAAAGAAAAACGACCGATAGAAACAATACCCCCGGTACATTTAAATAAGCTACTCTGTATCTTTTTCATGAATGTACGACATCAGAAGGGTGACGAATATAGGTAACCTCTAAGAACCCATCTCGCTGCCCTATCGCCACATATAAAGCCTTCAAAGCCCGTCGTGCGCCTACATACTGCAAATGAACAAGCAAGGAAAATGTATTACCACAATGGTAGAAAATGTAGATATGTTTTAAAAAAACCTGTAAAAAAGTTGTTGTTACCTGCACAAACACGCCGTCAATTCAGTGTAAACAAAAACATACAGATTAAGTCCCTCCCCTTTATCAATCGACCTACAAGAAAATTTGCCTACGTCACACAACACTAAATATGTTTGGACCCTACCGATCAACCATCTGGTATCGACGTTTCGTGACGTATGTAATTATCATGTGTGAGTCAATCGTCACGTTCGCCTCGGCTTGTTCAAAATATGATAGTACCTTTGTAAAATGATCATCGAATAATGCATATTTTAAAATGATGACACAGAGTAGAAGTCAATCACGTTTTATTGACAAATATCCCCGGCACACCTGTAGATTTGCAGCCTTCACTTGCACGAGATTTTAAATAAGACTGTGTTAATTCTGATATATGGTCTGACGAGGAAGTCGGGAGATAGGCCTACTCCTCGGGGAAAACGGTTGACAAACCACAGCGGCAGAAAATATATGGTGCAGAAACTCATTGACAAAGGATTACCCCCAAATCAGATCATGCAGGTACATTTAACAGTTCAATAAAATTATTTCATTAAAAATATCATCACTAGATAAACTATCGCGCAGTAGCGATTTAACTCTAGTACATTTGTACCTTTTTGTGTGTCAGTTACCTGGAATTAAATGGAAAATAATTCCATTTATGTACATGTACACTTTTAAAAACTGTACATGTACATTAAGTATGTAATTAGGAAACCCAGAAATGTCGTTGTGCGAAAAGTAATCTTCAGCAAGGGCAACCAATTCCTCGTTTACTTTATACAAATATAATGAATCCAAATTAAATTGAAAACTGAATGCATCAATATAGGCCAAATTATATTGTTAGACATTTCATAACGATGGTTCATGTCTGTTACATTTCTTTCCAATTAAAACTTGGACATAGGACCAATCAACTGTAAATTGAGGTTTAGGTGGATAAAAATCGTTTCACAACGTTTTGCGAGATAGTCCATACTTTCATGAATTTTCATGGAGCACCGGCAGTCATTCGGCGAAAGATGGAGTTAACAGATTACATTTAGGAATTTGTAATTAAATGTCATCATGATTGATTGATTGTATTACCGATGTTTATTCAGATAATTATTTTGCAAGTTTTAATTGATTTAGTTATAAAACATTGCATGAATTTCATTGTTTTGGACAGGTTACAGACTTATGTAGCTGTGACAAGGCAATATGACTGGATTTCGCTTTAAACGATTTTTAGTCCAGGTTATTTTAAGGGAAAATAACAAATGTGGGACACATTTTCCCCCAGCAACGCAGTATGTAACCCGGGTATATATATGATATATATATGGTGTGTGTATATGTTTCAACGAGTGCTGTCAACTGTCTGTATACACGTGTGTTGTCCCGTCTGGTAAACAGTGTATGTGACGTCATCACTTCGGAACTTACGACGTAGACCTTGGACCTGCCCCTTGCACGAATAAAACACCGTATATTCCCGCCACTATATTTCGGCTACTGGGTAAATACTTACTGTCCAGTGGTCATTCTTAAAATCCAACTCATAAGAGAAGGATCTGTTCTCCATATCGTGTTGTTGTATATACATGAAGAGGCGTATATAGACATTGCCGCCAGCATTCGGTAACGAACTATCCTAGGAACACCATACCCGGTGTGTATAACCGTATTAATGTTATAATTAGTGTGTGATTGTAATATGTAGTTATTTGAATTAATATATAGATATAGCGGTCTATATTCAAAGGTCCGGTACCTCGGTCGGCGCGAAAGTTTTTATTGTATGTATATATGTGAGGGTGAATGCATTTATTGTATTGTCCTGTATTGTAGGTTTCTCGGAGACAGTAAAAGGAACATGATAAATTACACAACATTTCCGTGTTTTTTTGTTTTTATACTGAGCAACAGGTGACAAAGAAAAGATAAGAAAATTAAACACCTGATAATTTACAGTGTCTAACTTTTCGAATATCCATTTTCAGGTAATGAGATTAGGTTGTCTTCAAGTATTAACTATTGAAAATATTGTGTACAGTCTACGCAAAAACACTGTATGGTGACCTATATCGCGGCTTCGGTGATTTATGAACATATTCCCTTTCCTTAATTCACTGCCGCATTAGGCACGTGTGAAATATCAAGTTGACCCGAGTCGTTAAGGAATGTTAATAGCACTTGTGGTTGTTCTGTGTACATGTGCAGTTTTTTAAAAGTGTATCTGTGCATAGATGTTTTATATTGTATTGTGTACAGGTACAGTTTAAAAAAATGTACATGTACATAAACGTCTTCTGTTGTAGTTATTTTGTGTCGGCTTCTATCGGCCATCGTATTTATAAGTATAATGTGAATTGAAATGTTAATAAAAACGAGTGCCTATAAACTTACCCGGGTTAATTCAACTTCACAGTCATTATCTAAAACAAAAGAAGATATAAGAACTTATAGATAGTAGATAGTTTGACTCATCTGTGAGTCATGCTATGATACAGTGTATATTGTATTTTAGGTAGTTATGTGTCATTTTTCACCTATATGTCATAAATGAAATAAAACAACAATATAAATTCACTATACAAATAGGGAAATCGATAGATTTTACACCCCAGGTGAGAGTTGTGTTAATAAATCATTTTTAATCATTTAAATTTGTCAGTCTTTTCAATAGATATCAAAATATACATGTACATGAGAGCCCTGTTGAGTTTAAGAGGACACCCGTTGAAGAACTATTATATATATATGCTTTCAAGGTACACGGCAATATGATTTATGACATCAATTTCAATAATGTGATATACTGTTTTGTCTTAGTATAGCATCGATTCAGTGACGAAATAGTACACTTTATACTGAATTCGCATTTCATTGGTTGTATTGGGATTTTAAAGAATAATAATCAGTTGTGTTATATTCTCATTGTTATTTGTGTTATGTCATTATGTAAATTTTTAAAACAATCAATGTTCGCGTGGTCCGATCACTTTTACATACATTTTTATATATCTTTATGTGTGTGTGTATTGACAACGGGGGTCTAATCTAACCATTACGGATGATTTGTTCAGAACATATAACAGTGCTATACTAGTTATGATATACATAGCTACATATACAACACAGGCATTTGTTGTGATACTTTACTTACCTGAATGCTGGACAGTGTGGGCTCGCGATGTCCACCCACCCATTTCTCACTGTTGCTATCAGCCATTTGTAAACAGTATCGTTAGGATGTGACGTAACTGTCCATACATAGACTTGGTGAATCTGTTTTATTTATGCACGTGTGCACTATGACACACAATTATTTATACCACACTCTATATATAAAATATTGCATCATAAAAAATGTAATATAAATTATGCATATTGTGTATTCAAGATAATTACTGTTTATCGGGAAACATATCGTCTAGTAATTATATTTATATCAGAAACTTTCAAACTTTTATTTCAAAGTATTTTTAGAATTTACTGTAGATGCATGGGTGGTAACATATGTTAGTTATCTATCATTCCTGTAATTATATATGTGTTGTTTAAATGACGGTATGTCAATAGCAATATGTTGTTTCTCTGGCAATCTCATGTTTTATTTTGCCATTCACATTTCTGGGCGAATTTGAAGTTCCCAATTGAAACAGGTAGATGGTATAACATATCCCGAGATAATCGACTATGTAATTTGTGCGCGGAAAGTGTCGGAGATGAATCTATTTGAATGCAATAATATAACTATAGCCACCTTACGTAACAAATATATTCCTCGTTATTATTGCACAAACCCAAATATTTATAAGTTTAAAGGTCTTTTATCATTATGCAATCAACGAGTTCTGACAGGTTTATCTATTTTCCTAACCAAAATGGCTCCTATTTTGTGAATGATGCATATGTATAACTGTTAATAGTTAAATAACTTGTGAATTATATGTATGGTTGTTTTTATGTTTGCTTTGTATTTTCCATTGTATGTCATATCATGTTACTATACCGTACCGATTCTAAATTGAACTGTCCATTCTCTCAGTTATGCATGTGCATACAAATATGTATATTGTACTTCATTTTCCATATCTGCAACTTTATTTCCTCATGTAACACATATAATATGTCTGAGTGTCAATACAATTTTGCTTGTATACATACATGCACCTGTCCATCCTGTCAAAATTTAATATATGAAATCATGTACATGTACCTCATGTTACACATTTCCATGTGTCTGAGTGTTGGAAATAAAATCTGAATCTGAATCACATTTCTGGGCAGATTGCCTGAATGAATATAGATTATCACAATGTGTTTTCGGGGTTTGTCGTGAGAACAATTTTCTCATCGCGGGCACGTGAATTAAATCGAGAGGCCACTGCTGGTGGATTCGAGAAAATCGTTCGAGCGACGAACACTGAAAATAATGTGTGATTAACTGTTTATCATCTGCATACTTTTATATTATATATTTCTCCATTAAAAGCCAACTAAACACCATTTTTTTCCAAATGACCTCTAAGCTCAACGGCCATCGATCAAAAATCGTCGGTTTGTGACAAATTTGTGAATATTAAAACAATTTAGAAAAAATATTTTTAAAACAATATTATCGTCATTGACTTTTCCATATGCATATTTACGCTTAAAATGTCATGTGAAAGGTATGTGTCTTTTTCATAATTATTCAAGGTACCATACACTTGTTAGCGTATCTATTTCATGTGCACGTTGAATCAATGAGTTAATTAACTGAGAAATATGACAACTTTTTATACACGTGTTAGAGGACATTTCTTAGCATTATTATGTCCTTCTTCACCTTCTTTTTTCTTAAGATAGTTAACCTACATTTTTGTAACTTTACACGAAGTATTTAAGTGACAATGAATAAATCTATGAAAGATCGGAACAACCTTTTATTTTATTTTTATTTAAAAAACGTCGTAAATTCATAATAAAATATTTCATTAGACCGGACAATCGGAAAAATTGAGGGAAATGTACAAAGGAATTATTAAGAAAAAGAGGAAATGTTACTTTGATTTTTGAATATATGGGCTGTAATCGCGGTGGCAAATAAAACGAAAAACATTATATCGAAGTTTAATTTATTCATGATCCTTTTTATTTGCAATAATTTATCAGGCGGATTAAGAAAAAAACATGTGGATGTCTGCATAATGATACGCTTCCAGGAAGAACAACACAGGTACAAAAATGTAACACAGCACAGGTAGCACACAGGTAGCGCGTATTCCCCTCTGTGGCTATATGTTTAAAACAACCTCGTGAATGCATGACTTACAAATATCATGGGTCTGCAAACCTCTGTAGATAACTCTTTCTCCACCATTTGCTTAAAAGTGTCAATTAATCAATATCTGTTATGCTAACACATCATATATTACGAAATGCAAGAACCTATCTATCAAGGGAGAGTGTAAGATAGAACAAAAAGGCTTATCCATTTGTCAACAAACATTTATGCGCCTTGCCCCCATCATTGTAAATCAATAGCTATATGCCAAATCCTGATGTCTGAATAAATGTTTAAAGATTTATAAGTGAGCTACTAGAGTAATTTCTTATCTGTTTTAACGTTACATAATAACGTATCTCTCTTTACATATTACTGAGGCATCACAGAAGCCATCTGGGTTTGGACAAAGGGCACAACGCACTTAATACATTTTGACATTGTCAAACTGGTACATAGGGAAGACTCGCGATAGTAAATAACTTGCACTAACTGAACTTGCCAATATTGAGATAGGTTATCATAAACACCTCAGAAATACTCCTGTCAAAATACTATTTAAACTGATATCAGGGTATGTGGTATGTTGACAACAGAGCATGCAGTACAAGTGTGTAAGTACATTCGTGATGTATGATATATACAATTCGTCATATTGAAAAGAGTGTTTAGGTAATCGAAGATTGCAAAATTATGCAAATATCTATCCGTCTTCACATTGACGTGCATGTTACATTCTGTAAATTCAAAGCAATGCAGTGCTCATAATTTCTTCCCTATATCATAATATTACCTCAAATTATGTCATTGTTGGGGTTTGAAGGGGACGTAACTCTGATTGTCTAAGTCTCGAACAAACTCCATACTGTGGCAAACTTCTCGCATGTAAAATTCGTTTTTAAACACTATTTTGGATACAACGTTCGGTGTGATTTAATTTATAAGTATTTTTATATTTCTCCTTTTTCAAATATAGTGTAAAACACTGGCTTACTTTCATTATGTATATATTTATACATATTGCTACTGCGCTTCTAGTCGGAAAAGCTACGATGTTTGTCTCTTAAATTAAAATTTGAGCTACGATAATGAAGCTACATACTTTCCAAACAGACGTGCGTGGGTTGTTCGACCGCTAGATTACCAGTACAATAATATAAGAGGCCTTTCTTATCTGTAAAACACTGCTTGGATAGTGGGGGAACTGGATTACTGATCAATTTGCTTCACCGATGTGATTAAGCAAAAGTGAAATAAATATACAATATCTCTGGTAAACAAGGAAATAAGTAAATAAATAAGCGATAAAGACGGTTGATACATGTATCTGATATCAATTGTAAAAGCTTGCCATTTTATCCAACATTGGTGCAACTCGCTTAAAACATGTCAAACGATCAAAAGGAAAATATAAAGCTGTATTTGGTTTTAACGCTCCTAAATGTTTTTCCATATCATTGACAAAATAAGATTTTTTTATAACATATAACGGGAACAGGTCACGTATTCATGAAACCGTTCTCCTGCTGAAGCATGGAGTTTGTTCTCAAACCAACTTTGATTAAACGATCAAAACGTCGAATCTAAACATTGAACACATTATTTGGCTTTAAGTCTTTTTATTGTTTTTCAAATCATTGACAAAATAAAATGTTATTACTTATTAATAAACTAAACAAAAAATAGATTTGAGCACAAAATCCATGCTTTAGCATGAAAACAGTTTCATGAATACCGGTCCGGGTCTTTCAGTTCATAAAAAATATTTCGCACTTTGAAGTTACACGACATTGTGTTACTCCAGCATCCAGGCTAACCGGTGGTAGTCCGTATTTCAAGTCGACAAACTGTAATAACAAAGGGTTTAATACATTCCAGCGCCATTATAAGCTACAAACAGTCTCTGATTAATTTTCCCCCAAACAATGTGATATTGCTATTTTGATTACCTTTAAAGTGTGTTACACATTTGAATGAATATTTGTGTTTTTTTAATATCATTTTTTTTCTTTTGCAACTTGGTGAGAAAAAAAAACTGAACAGTATCTGGGGTTGTGATAAAGTTCAGATTTGTTAAGTCTTTTTAGAAATATTACTGGAGGCACTGATCATTTCTGACTCTTTTGATAATTAACCCTTCAGGTCTAACATTCTTCAGCTATGAAATATCATTATCAAATTTTATCAAAAATGTATTTTTGTTGTGTTCACTGACAGTGCTTTGCCAAAAGTATCATAGCACTAGACATTTCACCGTTTCCTGCTCGTTTAATTTAATTCACTGCAGTCAGTGTATATAAAAACAGAGATCTTCATTTCTCCTTTTATTTGATGCATAATGTGATGTCACTTTCCAAAGCGCACTTTACGTAAACAGTTGTGTCTACATGATACTATAACAAGCAAAAGTTTGCCAGTATTCTTTCCTTTATTTTCACGTATACAAATGAGTTTTAATTTTATCTGGGGACATTCAATGCATCATTAAAATGTGTCAGAATGTTGAATGTAAGTGTGGTAATATATTTTTTTAACTTTCATCATATCCTTCTTATAATTTTTAAGTTGTGATGTACATTTGTATGCCACCATGAAGCATATAAGATAATAATTGTTTAATCATGGAACGGCGTCAATATGATGCATCTCGTTATGTGAAGTAAATTATACAGGAACTTGTTGCATAACAAAAGCGACGGAGGCATGCTTTAATAATTATATTTTCCATACATAAATAAATGGCAAGTTGCGTTAAAATCATAACCAGATCACCAGGAGTGAATATTTGAAAGTTGCTAGTGAAATTAACCTCTGAATACCACAAGTGATAGTGACAATCGTTCAATGTCTTTGACGGAAAATGAAGAGGAACAATAATATAAAATATATTCAATCTGTGAACAGGACGCCATCCGAGTGAAAAATCGTAATGCTGATCGTATGCTTTGTTGTAGGGAATTAGCTGTAACAGTATAAAATCCATATGCGGAGAGATTTTAAAGACACATAACCCAATACGGGTTGCATCCCTTTATAAACTATTTTTTAAACTTTCTATGTGACAGATATCTAGAAGAATTGTGTTGTAGAGACTACGTATTTCTGTCATAATAATATATTGTTAAATCATTTCTTTTGTTTATTTCTCAGTGATTCGTAACTGTCGAAAAGTAAACACTATTACGATACATGTACAGTCTTCCATCCCAAACACTTAAACACCTATTGTAGGAATGGCTATATCCAAGCTGAACTGGTGTCACTATGATTTATTTGTTTGTTTGTTTGTGGTTTGCGTCCAATTAGCAGCTATGGTCATTTGAGGACGTTACATGTTTTGGTGGTGGAGGAAAACCGCAGTACCCGGAGATAAACCACCAACCTGTGGCCAGTACACAGCGACTGCCTCAAACCCGCGACCAATATGTGGAGAGCTAGAGCTAGTGGTAGCAGAATGTCACACGCCTTAACCTCTCGGTCACTGCGGCCCCTTGCGTCACTAAGAACAAACAGATGCGTACGAGGTATGTTCTATTATGAATGTATATACTAAAGCATTGAAACGCTTTCAGTTGGCATTTATAGGATATATGAATGCCAACTGGACAAAGGAAAATTGTATAAAGCATGCTAGATTTGCCTGTGTCAAGTTGGAGATCAATATTGCCTATGAATGCCAACTGAAACTCAATACTTTTATTTACTATCTTTGGTATCTAATTGTCTCACACAAAATTGAATTACACTTGTTAATATTCAGCAAATTTATTTCAAATAAAGTATACATCGTGTAAGTTTGTTCACTGAATAGAAAAGCCATCTGTCCAGAGAGTATCAGTAGTAGCCAACGTAACAATTATGACGTCGTAATATTTATGACGTCAACAACCGGCTCGTGACATTTATAGCCTAATAAAAGCCATCTAAATGTGGTATGGTTATGATTATGGTGGTAATGTCATACGATGATAAATACAGAGTTAATAAGACAAGATAAGACTTTCAATCTAGATAATATTTCCGGATTTCATTATAAGTGTTCTCATTAACATGAAACATTTACCTATTTATGTACAAAAGTTTAAACGGATCGTATCACATCAAATTATTGCACTCGTTTTTAAGTAAATTCAATATGATATGGATACTCATGTAAGATCCTCTATAAATTAAACAGCGTATAACTTTAAGTCTAATACAAATCACAAATGTGATGTGTAAGGTCTCATATAACCTCAATTATGTAATAAGGTACAATATGTAAGGGAAATAACTCTAACACAAATTACGTACCCAATATTGAAGGTCCCACAGAGCCCTTAGTTAAGTAACAAAATCAGAACACATGTTTACAAAAACTACTTGTCGACAAAGACCAAGTCTAAGAGACCACGTATCTATACAGAATATTTGTCTATAAATGTAAAGAGAAAACTTGTTAATAAAGATCACTCTTCTATACACATTACATCTCCAGCACACACGCAGGCATACACACACACATAGGGAGTTATTAGTCAGGTGGCATAGGACTAGTAGCTAGTGCCTGATAAGGCAGCTCCTACAAATTCCTCAAAATTGTATTGATTAATGTATATGCTGATTGTATTAATTGTATATCTATGTACTGTAAAGAGCTTTAGAGTGGTTTATGTTAGCTAGATAGGGCGCTATATCAAATGCTGTATATAATTATTATTATAAAGACTATCTACTAACATCTTATGTTTCTTAAGACTTTCTGTATATACAGGTCACTTGTCTAAACTATTTGTCTATAAAGATCTGTCTGAAATACCCTTAATGTGATGTTTCCAATATAACAACAACCTGACTACAAGAACCACCTTTCTATTACATATACATATTATGTATCACATCATGTAACATTTTTTTCCTATTAAAAGTACGATAAATAATGAATATATGTCACTGATATTCATGTTTCGAGAATTCTTTTCTTGTAAAAGTTATATTATAATTGTGTGTAAAATAAATAAAGTTCATATATCTGATTCATTATCTATAATCAAGATACTTATGAATATATTTCATTACCATAAATTCTTGTTGATTTTTCTTTGGTACAGTACCACGGACTTATTCTGTGGTAATACAAGTGATCGAATAATTCTCTTATCCTCTAATAATCCATAGATCTTTATGAAAAGGTATAGGGTCACCTGCCAGATGACGCGGGTTTTCTCCGGGTACTCCGGTTTCCTCTCACATTAAAAACCCCTGCGCTCTAACATCCAGGTCAATAAGAGTGATTAATATCAGTTGAAATGACTTGTTTCATAACTATTGTAAGATAAATACAGTTTATATTAAATAGATATTCGTGCATCTGTTTTGCACCGGATAACACGCCATGACCACAAACGCCAAATTATGTTTATGACATAATTGATAAATATGTATTATTGTTGTTATTAATTGTCATTAGCATTGTTTTAAATCGTTTTTCTCCATTAGCAGGCAAAGGTGACGAATGTGTTTTTTGCCAGAGGGTTTAGGCGGAGACAATAGGACAAATGATTGTCAGGTTTTACACTTTCCGCCCCCGGCAAGAATGTCTGGATGATATATTTGTGTATGCTATTAAGTATTGGGACCGAGTGTGCTTTGCAAATAGACGGACCTATGTGAGGACAGAAACTGGTCTTAGATACTCTATAAGTTGTCAAGAAACCACGTTTTTATTGAAAGGAAGTCGGTGTTTATCTCTTCTCATTCATACTAGGATCTTCATATTAATGGTAAGTTGATTTTGATTTGTTATTAACCTTATCACGTTTTAGAAAATAGAATGGACAGAAATGTTACAGTTAAAATGACCATTGAAGTATGTGCCGTAGTACCAGTACCACTACATCAAATTTTTGATATTTTTGCGAAAACATTTCTATTCTGAAATGGAATTATCTCATTAATTTAGGCATCGCCTTTGCACACATACCATCCGTTTATAGCTGGGAGCTTGGAACGAATGCGATTCTAAAATATTACGAACACATGTATACATCGTTTACATGTATATACTAAGTATCATACACAGTCGTACTACGTATTTAATGAAACGCTATGATTACTGACCGTTTGATGTTAACATCTTATGTAACTGACCCACAAAAATTGCCATGATATAGGGAATACAATGTTCAAATGGGACATTCAATATATGCGCAAGAATGACATAAATAAGTTATAACAATTCGTTTGACTGGTTTGTGAAGTATAACTTTAGAGAGTCAAATCATCAGCGAGAAGATGCTGTAGTTATACTTGAGCAGTGACCCAAATCACAATTGGTCATCAAGAATTTGATATTTTGTTCTGCTATGTAACGCCAAAGAAATTATGGTGTAAGTCCATGCGCTTAATGGAAACATTATAAAAAATAACATTCAGAATTTTACCAAATATGTGTGAGAAGGGACAGTCATAATGAATAAAATGTTTACGATTTTTAAAGTACAAGTATAACGGGACCTTCAAAATAGCTTTAGATTGTCTCATATTCTTTGAAATTTATTACATCGGTATGTAGAAGTGAAACAATAATTACAAACAATGTTTCAGTGAATATCATTCCACGTTAAAACATGTTTCTTTTGAATACACCGTTTTTCGCCTAAGGTAAATAGATATAAGGGACAACAAACACAACAAATCTAAGCTACATGTCTGCATGGTACAGGATACAATGTATGTGCACATGGCATATACCACAAAAAAAATACAAGTTAAACGTGTTACTGTTTTTCTTATAATTAAAATATATAAAAAGCATAGTCACGGAAAGCCAATTGTATTTCGTTAAATCCCGTTTAATTTCATTTCTCAGTTTTAAAGTTCGGGAATAAACATCCGAACAGATTCTCACTATTCCTTTTACAGGATTATACATTTCACATCAAGAAAACATAATTATTATACAAATAAAATTTGATATATCTCCATTTGAAACAGTATATTCAATCCTATCGCTACTTGATGCCCCAACGTATACAACGGGGAACGACGTTTACGTAATGTGGTATTGACACAGTTACCTAAAAAAGGAATTGCTTTAAATATCGAATTGATATAAGTTACTTTTACTGTACTCTCAAACTGAGGGAAACAGAAGTTATTTGACTGAACTTAAGATGACGAGTCATCGATGTTGTTGACACTGGTCAGACTTGATATTGTGATTCCGTGTCTAGGGACGTTTTTACGACTATTGTGACGTCCTGCCCATCCACTTAACCCTCAGCTAGACCCTTACCGACATTCCGAGAGAAACAAAAAGTACCGAGACGGTCCTCTTCTGAGGCGGTCTTCTTCCGATCGCGAGACGACCCCCGACACGATGTCCATATCAATTAGCTTATGTTTATTACATATTTGAGAGCAAGATTATTGCCTATTTATATACATGTACGGACAAACTACTGGTCACCGACATGAAATGTCTGTACAGGAAAGGACAAAGGGGTCAAGGTCAACAATCGGATGGTAACCAAACATTGACAGATTTCTCGTTTTAAGAAGAGTTCTACACAGGGAAATCGGTTTTTCATTTGTATCTTTAAGAAATAATCAACATATGTGTGCATATTGGGATGGAGTATATAATGAGAATCAGAAAATAATTAACGAAGACCGTGTCCGCTTGAGTGAATTCATTTTTTAACATTTTCATATACCTCATAGCCCCATAGCCCTGTATTATGCAAGGCGATACAAATGTTGGTAGAAAAAAAATCAAAAACTTGTATTTTACTTAAAGAAGTCTTTTCATTCTGCCTCCTATTGACATATGTCGTTTTGTCAGCGATTGCGGTTTCTTAGCAGTTACACGTGGCTGATATAGAAATCCTGATTTCCTATATTTTTACGATTTGTTATAAAATTGTATTGTTCAGTATTATTTGCGTTGATCAGTTTCCGAGACGCTAAATGAGATGAAGATACATTTAAATGGCACTTTGTATCCGACTATCCTATTCAAAATACTTTATTTAGTTTTCTCTTTTCTTTTTTTTCTCACATGAATGCATCTGTTAAAGAGGAAAAAATAAGTAAAAATAAATACAAAATTCGCCCGTGGAACTATTATTTTAGCTCAACAAAGGCGGACTAAATGGAATAATTTTGGAATCGTTTGAGCAAATTCGATAAGTAACAACTTTTATCGCTCATAAAAGCTATAAATAGGAATTTCCTATTATTTTAGACACGTCAAAACAAGTTAATAAACTTGTTAGAACAAAAACATCATGCACGCAGATCTACGCTGCTATACTTTATCATTTTTTTTAATCTAGGGGAGGCTATCATGTACATTCGCCCTTTATAGATACAAAGTAGGATTGCAGAATTGTATGTCATTTTCATCGCCATCGTTGTACCATCACTGCGTAGATGGTGATAGCCCAAACCGGATATCACTAATTCATCAACGTAAGCACTGGAGTACATGTAATTACTGTTGGCGTGTGAAGAATGTTGTTACGTCACCCCCGGGATCAGCTAGTTTATGTCACTAGATAGCCCACGCATATATCTTAACTGTCGTACGACATATACCAACACCCAAATGTGGTTTATTGAGTCTTGAACACCATGTACGAATGTATGAACGCTTGAGTTAAAATCAGTCAAGTTGATGACGTAGGCAGAGGAATGATGGAACAAAATTAGGAGAATCACTAATTTCTCTCACACCTTTTGTGTCTGCCTAGACAGCCATGAAATCGATCGGTGACAAATAAGCACAATGTCAACGTAACTGTGACAAAGAACATCTGAACAAAATATAATTAAATGGAAACGACAGTTTATATATATCCGGTATTTTGTCGACCTTTGATGTTATTTTTTCATTTTTTATTCCGGGATTCGATTCCCCGATCGGACGTAAAATGGTTGGGGTCACTTGCTCGACCACATGGGTTTTCTCCGTGTACTCCGGTTTCCGTGATTGATATATACGTTGGAATAACTTGTTCATAATTGTTGTAAAACAAATAAAGTTTATATTTATATTTTATTAAATATTTCATAATTACGTAAACATAAATGCAAATGTTTTTGTTTTCTATTCATATTTACTATTAAATGTGACAGTAATGGAAGAAATATTGAACCTAAAATCTCCTGATGGAATACTTTCCTATGTTCTCCTGCAATGGACTACATGACATTCCCTCATCTATCTTTATTTTGTTTATTTTTCATTTATTAATCATTTTCACTTTTCCTTTTTTATGCCGAACACGCTCGATATTTGCATATAAAAATGATTGATTTTTACATTAAAAAAATATTACATTGTTAGTTATCGCCCATAGAACGTACATTCTCTCAATACGTACGCAAAAAACAAGATAGCATATAGCCTTAATTCAATAGAAAATTAAGTCGAACTTTGCATTACGTTGTAACAGTATAGGCCCAGGCCGTCACAGAGAGAGCTTTTTAACAGACTGAACAATTTTGATAATTGAGAAGAATAAAAAATTCGCCAACAGTTGCCAGCCATATCAATTGAAAATTGATAAACAAAACGACACCCTTCATAAGGTCCGTCAAAATAGAACTGTTGTAAAATCCGAATGTTTCAAATACGAGTTCTGATGATATAAAAAACAGCTTGCTCTAAAAAAATCTTTAATTGAATTTTTTACTTCGTGTCAGTAAAAACAGGACAAGGAAATATATGCCGTTAAATTTTAAGTGACATTTATTTCAATTCACAAATTCGTTAGATTGTTTTACTCAGAAATTTCGTCGCCATTAAATCATCAGTCTTTCTGATATGATTTGCATAAGTCTGTTATGACAAAATATCTAGCGGTAGTCCTTACCTGCAATAATAAGGCCTGTACCATGTTTTTGTTGACATTTCCTTATAAGTTGCCGAGAATGCGGAAGTTCGTTATTTTTGCGGTGACGTATACATAATATACTCACAATCTGAATGTGTATACACGTTATATATATTATACGTAGTGCTAGTGAAGCTTCATTAGCACATTATATTCATGAGGCCCTGATAGTTGAAGACACAATATGTATATTAAGACCTTTAAGGCTTGTAGGGAGTAAAATTAGACGTATCTACTCAACTCGTGGGGGGGTGGGGTCTTTTTCGTATGTTGTTCTAAAGCCTGAAAACGTCCAGTGACGTCTTATTAATAATGTATCCTGACTATTTTGTCCCTGCTTGGCTGATTGGTTTGACTACTCTTAAATAACTGACACCCCGGACTGTTGGTGGTTCATTATTATTGATGTTGACGTATCAGGAATTATTGTTGATGAGTTTATAATCATTATTTATGTGTTTGATCAATATTGTTGATGAGTTTATAATCATTATTTACGTGTTTGATCAATATTGTTGATGAGTTTATAATCATTATTTAAGTGTTTGATCAATATTGTTGATGTTTCAAAAAGTGTTGTCGACGTGTCGTTTAGTATTCTGGAAGGCCTAATCATCACTATTTACTTTCAATCACTATTGCTGAAATCTCAGTCATTCTTGTTGATATTTCAATCAATGTTGTTGACATTTCAACCATCATTTTACTTTTTAAACACTATTATTGATATCTCACTCATTATTGTTGACATTTTAATTATTATTGTTGACATTTCAATCATTTTTGTTGTCATTTTAATCATAATTGTTGACATTTCCATCACTATAAATAACATTTCAATCGCTATTATTGACATTTCAACCATCATTGTTGACTCTTAAAACATTATTGTTGACATTTTAATCAAAATCTTTGTTAACATCTAAATAACTATTGTTGATATCTTTAACTAAATTTGTTGACATTTTTAATCAAATTTGTTAACATTTCCATCATTATTGTCGACTTTTTTATCATTCTTGTTGACATTTTAATCCTTATTATTGTCAACTTTTTATCATTATTGTTGATAATTCAATCATTATTGTTGACAATTCAATCATTATTGTTGACAATTCAATCATTATTGTTCGACAGATCAACCATTATTTGACATTCAATCATCGTTGTTGATATTTTAATAGTCACCGTTGGCTTTTGAATCGCAATCTTTGACTTTTCAAACTTTTCAATCATTTCTTCAATTAAAAGGTATGATTTTCGAGAATTAATGATGAGAGATTTAATTCATAGAAAGATGTTGATACATTATGACCGTTTTGTAGATGAAGATGAACAAAGAAATCCAGTTGTTATTGTTATCCGCGTGCTGTCTGTGCGTGTCGTCCCAGGAGACCCTGTCGACAGGGGGAGGTAGGTCAAGGCAACAGACCACTGATTCTAATCTTACACAATTACATTGTATATACAATTTTCCGGATATTGATTTTTTTTCTTCATTGTTTGTTTCAAATGCTTATATCGTTTTAACCCTTTCATCCCTATGTTATTTGCAATGCAATGTAATTGCAATGATATGGATGAATCCATTATGATCTAAAGTAGTGAAAGGGTTAAGGGGGAAAAAACAATCTAAAAGTAGTTTTACCTAGTACCAAGTAAGTTGTTCTGAAGTTTTGCCTCCATCACATTTTCTCAGAGTTTAACTTTCTATTTATTTTAGAAGGCTAAATTGTTGTTACAGAGAAACTATTTCAAGGTAATGATGGTGAGTAAAACAAAATTAATGAATTTGAGTGACAATTTATATTTCTTATTATGATTTTGCCGTTTGTCGTAACCTTGATGGCCACATTATCTCTTTGAGGAGGGGCACGGTTCGTGATATACACACTCTACTAATTGTTAATTTAAAACCGGTACTCCTCTTATTTCTGAAACTCATATAAGTGGTTTTATGCACCCTCCCTCTATATCAACATTGGTTTTGGCAATATTGGATTTCCCACTGCTTTTACCGATGAGATGTAGAAGGGCGGGTCAGATGTACGATGTAGTGTATTTCATTTTGACATTCTTTATCTTTTACCAAATGTTATAGTTGTAATCAAATATGTGTGTCTTATGCTCATCTTTGAATAAAGCACAACATTGATGACCTAGAGAGGCTTTAGAAAACAAAAGTTTTGAACTTTCTTAAATATTTCCAGCTACAGACCACTACAGCAGAACGAAGATATATCACATACCTGTTGAATCTTGTTATAGTAATACAAGCAATTTTCAGACCATGAAATACAACGTTCTGTATTGCACACGTGCAATACGAAATTTTGTATGTTTCTAATCAGAAAGCACTCATTTATTGCGCGGACGTATATATTCACTCGTGCGCTCCGCCCACTCGTGAATATATTCGTTCGCGCAATAAACTCCTGCTTTCTGATTCGTTAGAAAAACACAAGTGTGTGGTCTTGCATATATATATTTTGTAATTTACTTGATATTTGGGTTGGTTTTGCCTTATAATGTATTTCGATTTTTATTTCCTCGCCATACCTACTTGCATCCAGATTCAAATAACATACACTTCCGTTCTCATGTACATGCGCTTTCCATGACATGTTGGCTTCACAATACTATCTACAATGTTGCATGCTATTCCTTTTTTGGCAGTTCTAACCGTCGTTGACCCGCCCCCGGGAGATGTTGCAAGACAGAACCAAGAATTAGGGAGTAGGTATTGACTTGCGTTTATATGACGAATATTTTGCCATGTCAAACCGTTAGATATAGAGGTCAAGCTCCCAAAGGAGGATTTTGATAATTTGACACGTTAATGCGGTAAGATCGTAGGTAGTTGGGCACAGATCATATGTAAATAGAAACTTTGGCTCCTTTTCGAATGACGTACAGTCGCTAATTATACCAAAAATGAAGTGGTTAAGATTTTCAACAACATTACAAGTGAACTTATTAGCGGTGGCCAAGTGGTTAAGGCGTCTGACATTATGCTACCACTAGCCCTCCACCACTGGGTCGCGGGTTCCAGAACTACGTAAGGCAGTCTCCAGGTATTGCCTGCCGGTCGGTGTTTTTTTCTCCGGGATCTCCGGCTTTCCTCCACCACCAAACCTGGCACGTCCTTAAATGACCATAGTTGTTAATAGGACGTAAGACACAAACAAACCAAAACCAAACCAAAATGATTGTTAAAGAAGTGATATTTTATTTAGCCATTTGATTAAAACATGACATATGTGGTTAAATATCAATTCCACATGCACCATGACTACTGCCTGGCGTCACGTACTCGCCACGGAACGTTTATTACACACAACAAAATTAGAAATTCGTATTTTTAATGCTATTAACAGAAGTGATGGTCTCTGTAATCACAACCTTTTTTTTTCATCAGAAATGCTGTTTGACAAAGATATATGTGGCAATGGGAAGAACTAGTTTTTGGAGAGCCTTCCTTCTTTGTTCAAATTTTATCATAAAAATATTACAATTACATGATTGAATAGAAGCAGAAATCAAACGAAAAGATAAATATTATGAGAGAATCTTATATTTGTCAAAAAAAAAATGTTTAGAATAATTAAAGGAAAGATTTAATATGATGACATCGCGTTACGTTTTGACGATTTACATTGGCGGTCTACAAGTAAATAATTATTTCATAGTTAACTTGTAGTTCAGTTTATCTTAAATGTTAACACGAATGCTATATAAGAGGATTTGAAAGTAAATGATGATGTCAAAGCTTCAGAATGAGTGTACAAATTATAGACCGCAATACATATGAAAAACTTGGCAAGGGAACTTATTCTAAGGCAGAAAAGACTCCTCGTGGTTGCTTCATCTTCTATATAAAAGGGAGACTACTCCTATTTAAAACCTGAGTGGAACTCTTCTTCGTCACTTTAAATGATACAGTGGCACAAGTTACTTACGAATACTATAAACGTGTTAGATCGTAGACATTTTTCGCGTGCAGGCACCGTTTCAGACAAGTAATTGGTGATTTGTTATTTAAAACAAGCTGCTGCAACATTGCTTATAAGTCAATGCAAACGTATTCTCGATTTTTTTAGCAAACACAATATTATCGAAGATGTCGACATTTGCAGTTTATGTTTTCAAATCTCCGCATTAATGTACGTAACTCCTTGCACAGATCTTAAGGCCATATGCAGTAGCTGTAAGGCCGTTGTCTGCACTCTGGGCATACCAAACGACTGTGGCGCGTATGTTGTCTGTGAGTCAGGACGCCAACCCACCCAACTTAGGTGTCCTTTTGGAACCTTCTACAACCAGAAAGAAAATAGATGCGATTTCCCTTCTATCATCAAATGCCCTAATGGTGAGTTGTGTGTTGATTATAGATTGCTTGTTTGCTTGGTTGTTTACTTACTTGTTTGGTCGTTAATCTGATATGTTAAATATGCGTAAAATATGTAAAAAAAACCCGATACACTTCTAGCTATTGTTTGTGTTTGTAAGATCGCACTAAATACTGTGTCAGTTGCATTCCAGCTATAACTTCATAGTTCAAAATTTCTTCACAGGAAAGACACGCGTTGCTTCTTAATCATAGGTAGTTATACGAGTACGTTTTTTTCTAATGCGGGCTCCTATGCGACAAAATACAAGAACTCACGCAAGATAACTTCGATAGAACGCCCTTCGTTAAATAGCATTTCTCGTTGTTTGTCACTTCGATTAGATCTACCATTTTCCATCCTCCCATTTTCAGATTTTCCTAACATATTTTTCTTCTTTTGTTAGTCCTCTATACACACAAAACCTGTGGTATGTATCAAACCAAAGTTTTGTTAAATTCAATGTATGAAATGTACTAAATACTGATGGGCGCTGACCCACTGTTACCAAAAAACTAGTCAAACTTGAATGTCAAATGATATATGGTTGACATTCCTTCCCTCAGATCCGTGTTCCGATCCTCGATATCCAAACCTCGTATCATACCAAGACTTCCGGATCAAAGAGCCGAACTGTCGTCACTACTGGAAGTGTAACGGGAAGTATTCCGCTGCCGAGTGTTGTCCGGAAGGGACCGCCTACATTGGCAGGGATGGCGCATGCGTAGCTGACAAAGCATGTAATGCTTCCTGCCCACGAAACCAAGAGACTCAGTCCGCTAAGGGTGAGGATTTTTTTGCTAATTTCCTGCTGTTGTATTTAAAGATCGATTTTTAAATGTAATTTTATAGACTATGTGTACTAGGTAAGATTGCATTACTTTCTGATGAAGGCCCATATTCTGTTCATCAATATACTTTCCAAAAATCCTCATCGGTTGGATCATAGTCACGCGCTGGACAGTGATTTGTGATATTGACTAGGTATATTAACCTAGGTAATGACTCATTCTTTTGATTTGTCCTACTTTATTTTGTAGGCACCGACAGTTATCAAGTGACGATATGTAACGGTAAAGCCAAGGCGCTTGAGTGCCCACTTCGAATGGAAGTCCGCATCAACGAAGTGTTTTATGGGCGTGCCAATGCTAAAACGTGCGGTCCTTCTCCGAAAATCGCCAAGCCGTGTTCCAGTCGCTCCACTCTGACAACAATACGGAGTCAATGCGTCGGAAAACAATCGTGTACTGTGACCGCTGACCCATCCCTGTACTCTGACCCTTGTCCAGGAATAGATAAATATCTACTCATTAATTACATATGTAAACCAGGTAAGTGTTATCGCGTTTTTCATAGGTCTCTTAGTCTTGTATAGTAAGGTTAAATTCAACCTTTAAAATGTTAAAATGCACATACAACATTCTTTGATACCAAATAAGTTATATTGCTCTACTTCTAAATTCCCCTCTCCCAAAATTCCCCTCTACGTAACATCTCTCTCTCCTGCTTCTATATCCTATCTATAATCCTATTCCGACATTTCTGTCTCACTCCATGGTAGCGATGTATCCCCCTGCTCCGATATCTCTCCACTGCTCCAATATTTCTTCCCTATTGCCATATAACTAAGAATAGTTTCTCTCCTACAAAATGTTGTTAAAGGCGACTGATGTGGGGCCCCGAACGAATCGGGGGCTTTCCTCTATGGCTAAGGGAACATTAAAGAAGCCTCAGTCGATCTACTGACCTTATTGCAACATTTGGGATCGTTATCGTTCTCTCTACTTCATGAAAACCCGTTTGTCGCCCCTATGTTCTTGTCTAGCGATACCTCACTTTTGATCTTAGTGTTGAACGATCGCCTAAATGGGGTTTACCCGTTGTCAGTATAATGTGACCGGCTGGAATACCGTGTTTAGTGTCTTCGCCATGGTATTTCAGTGAGGTAGCACTCAAAAGTCGGTATTAGATCTGCGCTAACGCAATGAGAACGATTGACATGGAAACTCAATTTTAGTATCTATATTTACACACATATTTTTCGATTAATGTTGACAGGCTGCAATCTAAAAAGCAAGGACGGGAAGACGTTTTACAATGAGGCCAACGTTGCAGAAATACAAAAATGTAGTCACGGCACAAGATTTGATTCCGAATTATGCACGTGCGTAAGATCTGGAAGCGTAACCCCATGTAAGTGACACAGATAAGTACCTTGAATGAAAAAATACTTACATATTGTACGGGTATGGTATCGTATTTATGATAAAGGTACTGTACTCTACTTTGGAATGATATGGTACGGCTATTATATACAACAAGTCCTTATTAACTGCTGTTCTTTTAAACAGAACATTATACAAGGTAGTCTATATGTGGAAGGAGTGTTGGTCTCGTGACCGAAGGGTCGCAGGTTCGAGTCCAATCATGGCACTGTGTTTATCATTGAACACGATACTTTACTCCGCTTGTGAGCGCCTAAATTGCAGTACGGTATATATGCCCCCAGGGAGTTGCAAAGTATATTAACTGGTTGCAAAGGCCAAATAATTATGAATATTAATGTGTGAACCGCTGAGACGACATATGTTGGCCCAATAATCACGAAAAATAATTTGTGAACCGCTTTGAGACGACACAGCATAAAGCAGTATATAACAACCTCGAGTCATTATCTATTAATTTAATTGGGGAGAACAATGGCCCGTCCATATATTAAGGCATATTTCTAAAGTAAAGAATAAACAAATGGATCTTCAAACGAAGAGGCAAAGGTCAAATTAGAAATTTAATCCCGCTGATAATAGATATGAAATCATTCATAGTCATTCTTTATGTATCGACGTTATGTATGAATTTGTCAAAATATATGAATTTCTAGAAAAATAACTGTCCTATAAAAAGAATGGTACGCTTTCATTACGGTTTTTAGTTTTTTACTTAACTGATTTTCTTTGTCAAGGAAATACATATACCTGTACATTATGCACCTATAGTACCCGGGAACATGTTCTAGGTTAAAAGCATACTGTCTGTATCGCTGTTGTCCTGTTTTTAATTGTAATCTTTATTACATTTGCAGTATGTCAGCTGGAAGTTCTCATCACGTTTAACGACAAAGAAAATAAAGATGTACAGAACGAGGCCAATTCACCAGTGTGGATAAATGCCAAGTCGATCGAAAAATTCAATGGTTACGGCACTTTCCGTGGTAAAAGCTCTGTAACAATTCCCTTCTATAGTGGGAATGACAACCTTTCCCGGAAATTTGGAATCCAGATTAGAATTTTTGTCATGGCCCAGGGACCTTCTAAACAGATACTGCTAACAAATTGCAATAATGACACTTCTAAATATCCGAATGCATCTTCACTGGAAGTTTACATCAACAGGACGACTTCCAGTTCTAGTATCCACATGCGGATTATCAACAACGATAATACCATTACAGCGTTGGCACTTCCGATAAAAGTAAGTCGAATGCTTCATTTGGTGGTTCCCTCATTATTGCCAACACCAATAAATAACGTTTATGGCATATCCAAAGAGTACAGAGAACAAAGGTGAGAGTAAATCCTTGAGTTTTGAGGACACATCACCCGCAGAAGATCACCCACAGAAGGGAATTACGATTTTAGTTTACTACTTGCCTTGCTGGTTCCTGTTGATGAAAATGGGCAATAATGTTTTAGTTAAATGATTTCAGTGCTTGTTTTGATATTTTTGTCGTCTTTAAACAGAACGGAATGATCTAAGTTTATAACAGTATTTTAATATGCTATAGATGAATTACATTTCAGCCAAAAGTGTCAGCAAATTTACTGCTCTTTTGTAAGGGTTGACATGGATCTTTTTAAACTTTAATGTAGGTAGGCAATACAATAGGTTATTTTACTATGTACTTTGTTTTAGTAAATGATACATTTTAACCAAATTGGTAACCAAATGGTGACACAGTATTAATATTTTCATTGTAATACAAATAAAATATTTTATCTAACTGACAATTTCTGATATTTCATTGCGATCCCCCCCCCCCCCCCCCCCCCCCCCCCCCCNCACACACAAAACCGTTTCGTAGGGCATTGAGATGATGTGGATGGGCGGAGTCAGTGTCGTGTATTATCAAATGTTCACAAGCGAATGATGAAGCGTTTTTGTTTTTTTGTGCATAGTTTAATGTTGTACAGAAGATGTAGTCAATTATTGGACTATTATAATTAAGTGTTTTGATAACGGTGGTTGCGATTGCTACTGGGTTCAGCCTTTTAATACTCTCCTATTCTTTGGGTTATTTCAGATCAAAGAATGGACGAACGTGCTCTTCCGATTTGATGGTTCGTACCTTCATGGAACGTTACAGCATATCAACAAGGGCACGACCAAAGTTCAGGAGGACAAGGCCAGTGTAGCATTCTCAGGTATATCAGAATACCAAAAAGCAGACGACGTTTACCCTTTCGGAACCCCTGGTCTTATTGTCCTTACGCGTTTTCTAGGGTTTCCGTGAAATGTTTTCCTTTGTTCATTTCAAGCCATTGTTTTGTCGATAAGCAGTTCGAGTCATGGTTTTGTGGAAAGTTTTGGTACAAGTATTCTTTTGTTGCTATATTCCACCATCTCTGACAAAGACAAACAAGAATATTATACATACATGCTATTTTCCCGCTAACACTACTTACTCAACCATACTGTATATGCTGTTTTTGGCAGTATTAGCAGTTATTTGCGTAAAGACGCATCAAAGATAAATGTAACGCTTTATGATAATTAGAATTGAAGCCGAAGAACTAGATATGTCCTCTTATAAATATTATCTTAATCTTGCTATTTAACGATCGAGTTTGAAGAGTAATCAATTCGATTGTTACTTCAAAGATTTATCCATGTTGAATAGATATAAATTTTAAACAAATCCATCCATTCCTACAAGACGGTAGTTGGTGACGGAATGATTCTCCTCAAATGAGGTACGTTTGCAAAGTTCGTTGATGAGATCTTTTTACATCATGATGGTTATATTTGACTTTAATATTTTAATCACATTTGCAGGGAACATGATGACCAACTCTGGCCCTTTAAAGATAGGATCATGTACAGACTTTGTGGATGGACTCTACGCCTTTATTGATGAGGTAAGTTGTCGCCTTAGATAAATCTAATTACCCTAATTACTATACCTTCGCCTTTATCGGAGGCACGATAGTCTAGTGGTAGGACGCCGGACTCATGCCCGAAGGACCGTGAGTTCGAGTCCCGTTATGGCGCTGTGTCGTATCCTTGAACAAAGATACTTTACTCCGTTTGTTCCACTTTACGCAGCTGTAAATGTGTTGTGCAGTGCTGGTATTGTTGAATGCTAGATGTAAGCGCCTGAATGGCAGCAACGGCTGAATGCTTCCCAGGGAGTTGAGAAAGATATTGGCCCTATACTCACGGACAATAATGTGTGAACTGCTTTGAGACGACCTAGGTTGTGATAAAGCGGTATGTTTCTTAGAACCTCAAATTTACCGTTGAGGTAAACTTTTGCATTATGATCAATGCAGTCAACTTCATTACTGTAACTACGAGTGTATTCGTGAGCCAAGTTTGTCCCCTTATAAATGACAATTTCCATATATAATCATGAAGTTTCATTGTCTCTTATAAACAATTCAAATCAGTTCGGACATAGTTCCTAACTGAGATAACAACTTTTTATGCTAATGATTAAGTCAATCCCTTACAGACCGAACATTTTTTTTGTACAAAATGTTGAGTCAATGTTTTTTGCATTTTTCAGATTCAAATATCGTTTTGCAAGGTGACCTTACCGATGAAAGGTGCAAACTAACAGTATTCTCAAGAGATGCTCATTTTGTTTGTTTGGACGTTGTACACCCTCGTAATCGTCCTCCTCGTGCAAAGCTCCATACAAAAATGAATATTTATCTCATGTTCCCAGCTGTTGATTTTCTTACTGGTTCATTTCATGTACATTGTGATTTAGTATAGTACATGTATGATATTGTAATAAACATTTGTATTATATATAGTTAAGTGCATTCTGTACTATGACCAGGAACATTTGACAATATTATGCTACCGTATGCTAACACACCACAGAACATTCTCTTTCAGAAGAGCTCTTCCACGTTGAAGGACACTGTTAAAATATGTTTTATCGGAAATATAATATGCTTAGTTAATAAAGTGTATGTACATTTGAACTGTATATCAGCTTTGATAGCATATGATTAATAAATTATAAATTAACACATCTAAGATAACCAAAAGTCTTAACACAACTGACTTTGTTACATAAGTTGTATAAGTTTCATTGTAGCAAATATCAATGAGGGTTGAACGATTACAAATCAATAGCCTAAATTTGCATATCCTTTAAAAAAAGGTATACGCTGAATATAAGTTTGTGTATACATTAGTTTTCTGTTTTTCAGGATTAAATGTCATTGTTGTTGATTTAAATTAAATATATATTGTCTAAACTGTATTTTGTGCAGGTTTTTAATGTTTTCATTGTGTTGAACTACTGAATTCTTGTTTAAATAGAGGATCTTACTTAAGGCGAGCCATATCAAATTATTGAACGAGCTTTTATAAATTAAATATGACAATACCACATAACATTAAAAATAAAAAATAAACTTCTAACACAATTATGTGTTATCAGCTGATTCTATATAGGTCAAAATCAAAGTACTCTGATCATAGTATTGTCGTTCCTATGCAGAGTAGTTTAAGATGGTTTTTAAGCAGTTTGTATTAAATGCAATGAAAATGATAAGGACAAAATTAATATTTAACATTCATCAAAAATATTATTAAATGTATATATCATGACATGGCCGTATGACAGAGTAACATAGGTTAGTTATGCGGTGAATTATTCTCCTATGTGTTGAATGAAAATGTATAAGGCCATGAATTTCGCGGTAATCATCAGAGAAGCAACTACAGCAGGCAATACGCAGACATTATGACATGGTCCAATGATTGATGCAAAATTAAATGCTTTGTTTTAAAAATGTAATATATTCTTATACAGTAAAACCTCATTATACTGCCTTCATTTGTTCAGAGGAATGTTGGCGTTATAAATGGGCTTGGCAATAAATCGAGAAAATATGTTCTATGTGTTACTGACGCCCCACGGTATATTGTGTACTATGGGGAGAGATATTGTCTGTAAGTGGTGATATAATCACAGCATTTAATTTAATCGATCTTCTGTAAAATGTTTTCGTTTGCAGGACTGTAATATTGTCAAATAACTGGTCTTGAAAATATCACTCACAGTTTTATTTCGCCTTAAGCTCCTATCCTGTTCCGAAACATACCAATTCAGCAATAAATGTTGCATATGAATTTTTTGGTTCAGTAGCTTTACTCTTTTTATCTTTCATCCCTTCTATACATATCGATCGGTATGACTTTTTGGCGTTTCAGCAGGGAAGCCATGAAGGTATATATTTTCAGTAAAACCGAAATTTTCGAAGACGTGCTCTACTTATATTTTACAAATATATTTTGACATGTGACATGCAAAGACACCATACATATTCACATAATAATATTAACATCAACATCATATAGTCATGTATCGACATAGAAACACATCCTATTTACGTGTGCCGTCACTGTACCCGAAACGGGACATTTGTGGAGTATTTTCATGTTTTCATTTTTCACTTGATGTCACTTTTATGTCAATTTAACTGTATATACGCTTTATTGGCTGCGGTTCATGATTACACAGAACGTTCTAAGGTAGGAATAATTATGAAAACAACACTTTCTAAATTTACGTGCAATTCGACTGTTTTTATTTGGATATATGTAATGTATTTATTTTTCAAAACTAATGCTGGTTAGGGGAAGAAATTAAATCAGAACCTCCTCTGACTGAAATATTCTAACTGTGTATATTTTCTGCTGATACTGATCGTGTATCCCCTATTATTAACAAGAATACAAAAGTGTTCCTTTCAGTATACATTTACATTTGCTCAAGGACCTATGTCATCCTAATAGTATTTCGCGTTGTATTTATAGAACCGAGTGCTGAAAATACAAACCTGTAAAAGAAAAGAACACCGGATGGTTTCTATTTATGAAAAAATGCACAATCACATTATTGGAATTTGTACTATGATGTGACATTAAATACATAAATATTAATCTAAAAAGTGTCCTGTCTTGGGTACTGCAGCGGTAATAGACACATTTTCCTATTACATGTAGATTATATCAGTGTTTATGTATATATTCCTTTAATATTATATGAAGACATATATAGATTTCTCAATCAACTGTTCGTGTTTTTTCTTACTCTCGATGTGTCCTTAAGTTAAGTTAGTTAGTAAGTTAAGTCGCATGTAAGTTAATGAACAAAGGCCTCTGCATATTGCTTCTTTATTTCATTGGAGATATATTTTCAAATGCTGATATCATACCATAGCTAGAAAGTGTAAGGATATGCATTCGTTAAACTAGCATACCCACAAACAGATAACTACAACAAGACAGAGCGATACAAAACTGTTAAATGAAAGGAATATTCACAATGAAATGAGGAGATCAAAACATTCATTAGACAAATCTTTTGAAGTAATCTATTAAAAACAAGTCTAAATAAATTATTGTGATCTTGTTTTTCATACAGTTAAAAACAATAGAATATTCCTCTATCTGCAGATGACAGCCAGACGCGGAGAGTTTTACCATGCGTGACATTAAAATACTCAGTTTCTACAGAGAGAAACTAAGAATCGATGGTCGCCTCACAAACAGGCGACAGAATAGCAGTAGTCAAAAAAATGTACGATCCGTTACAGCCATACATGGAAATAGGCAGGTATAGGGCACTTGTGATACACGACGGCCAATTAAACAGAAAGCTGAAATGCAACAACTGTCTAGAGGAAGGTCACAAAAACTGTACAAAAGAAATAAAAAAAAAGAAGCAACGGAGATTCAGGAGATGACGAATTTGAGGGGTCTGAAGAGGACACTGTCTACGAAGAAGCAGAAACGGAAACGCATGTCGTTGACACACAGCAGAGTCAACCAAACACAAAAAATGAAAAAACCCCCCACAATTGCCTCCCACCCAAAAACTGAAAAATTAAACAAGAAACAAAGAAAGGGTAGGCAAAAAATAGACAAGCACTCAACAAAGCAAAGTTGCACCCTAGACTCCTTCATAAAATCTGCTGGTACTGGTACGAGTACTCCATCTATAAAGTAATATGGCCCCAGATCTGCTGTCTCCTCCAACACCAGCTGAGGAATTAGAGTCTGGAGCAAAGGCAAAAAAGAAATCTAAGGACCAATCATGATCAACGACAACCTCCTTCAAAAAATTAATATGCATGTAGGGCATCACAGAGAGCATAAAACATGTTCAACACTGATACTTTATTTGCATATATCTGTTTATGGACTATTGATAAGATTAACGGACAAAAAATATAGTCAGGTTACCTTAATAATACTTATCATAATGATGTTAATCAGTGATGGGTATGTTAACGCCATGTATGTGAAGCAGAGTAATTGTAAGAAGTACTTGCTACGCTATATTAAAACCAACTGGTGGAATAATCAGGATGAAGAAAAATATAGCCAAATAGATGTTTACTATGTTTTATTTTAAAACAATAACAAACCTTATTACATATCTAAGACAAATGAATCACCATACATAAATAATGAATGGCGTGGAGATACAATACACAATTTTGGATCAAGCCAGAACAGAGGGGTTTCACTATTAATAAAAGATAACCTGAAATATAAAATACATGGTCTCATGACAATGGCAGGTGCCTCATGACAAATCTAAAAATAAATGAAACATCTTTACGTTGGTAAACATATATGCCCCAAACGAAAATCACCAAAGGAACTCATTTTCAAGAAAATTAATCAAGGTTTTATAGTAATTGGAGGTGATTGGAATGAAATCCAAGATAGTATAGATAGAAAATCTGTAATATGTGCATGCACTCAAAACACTGAAAAAGGACTGAACCTATTAGATATATGGATATCCAAACATCCACACAAAAAAAACAATTCACCGCGAGTAGAATTGGCTATTTCTTAGTATCAAGGGAAATAACTCCAAAAATGATAAAAACTGATATACGTCGAGCTATGATAAAATCTACTGACCACCTAGCGATCTCAATTATTCTTGATAACTTAAATACATCTAGAGGACCTGGATACTGGAAACTTAATAAAAGCTTACTGAACAATGATGAATATAAAAAACACATAATACATACTATAAAATCATTTAACAACAGTATAGAAAATAAATTGGTAGATGTTCAGACAGCTTGGGAAAATACAGATAAAAGAAGATTCTATAGCCTTTAGCTAAATTTTAGCTAAAGGTGCAAATAATGAAAAACAAATACATAGAAAACGATATTACAGATCTACATGACCAATCATATACTGAAAACAGTGACAGAATTCAAGAACTAGAATCCAAATTAGAAACTATATATGATAATAAAGTATACGGTGCACAAATACGCTCAAGAGCAAAATGGATTGAAGAGGGCGAAAAAAAATCGAAATATTTCCTGACATTAGAAAAAAAGAGATAATCCCAGAAATCAATAACAAAAATGAGGATGGGAATATCCTCACGAAAGAAGATGGCATCCTAAAAAGACTAAACTACAATAAACTCTATACAACAACAAAAATAGACCCAAATGCTGTAAAGAACTACATTGTTAATACAGCATTCGAAAAAATATTAAAAGAAGTTAAAGCATCACATGTAATGGATTGATAACAGACAAAGAAATCTTAACAGCAATAAAAAATATGAAACCCAATAAAGCTCCAGGTATAGATGGTTTAACGGGAGAATTCTATATAGAATTTTGGCCTTATCTTGAAAACATTTTATTCAAATGCTACAATACAAGTCACCAGAAAAAGGATTAACAAAATCACAAAGACAGGGGGCACTTTCCTTAATATATAAGAAAGATGACCCTCTTGACTAAAAACATTGGCGTCCTATCACATTACGTAGACTACAAGATACGAGCATAGCACGATGCTTAGCGGAAAGGATCAAACCAATACTCCCAAAAAATATTAACACCGGCCAAAACGGCTTCATTAAAGGTAGTTACATAGGTAAAACATCCGACAAATTCAAGACATAATTGATAATGCAGAAAAATTTAAAGTAAATGAAGCAATATTAGCTTCGATACCGTAGAATGGGAATTTATTTATCACACAATGAAAATATTTGGCTTCAATAACTCAATTACAAATTGTATAAAAACATTATATAATGAAATAACCTGTGTAATTAATAATAATGGATGGATCTCTGATCTAATCAAAATGTCACGTGGTATAAGACAGGATTGTCCTGCATCCGCATTATTGTTTGTTATGGCAGCAGAAGTAATGGCTATAAGAATCAGAAATCAAAATACAAGGA